TGCAGCAGCGCTTGCGCAGCATGCAGCCAGCACCCGAATGCCGAATGAGGAGGCAGGCCCTTTGCTATATCGAAGTGGCCTGCCTGCGTCCAGTCCCAGGAAGCTTCCAGTAGACCCTGGTAGCCTGAGGCCCAGTACGATCGAGAACAGGCCTGGGGCCTGCGGTAGTTGCATGTGCGCAACTGCCTTTGGCATGTGTGTGGCCCAGTACCCGTATCCAGCCCAGGCCCTGCTTTCCATTCATTCACACAGGCGGCCCAGGGCCTGGGTTTCCTCAACCAACTGGCACGGAGCAACCGCCTGAATTTTCCTTAGTTGCGCAGAGGCCGAAATAAGGCCCTGAAGGCCTCGTCGAGCCTGCCTTCACTTAGGGCGGCCGACGGGCTGTAAAAGAGGGGGCGAAAGGGGCTCATAGAGGCAGTGGCCTCGCATTCCCTCCTCCTTAGCTTCAGCAGTCCTCTGAGAAGCTCAATCTTCGACCACCGGGCACTTTCCTTTCTGCAGAGATTTCTCATAATGAGCAACTTGAGGAGCGGTCTGCATGAGTTCTTCCCTCGTGAACCAGCAGTCCTCCTTGGGATCAGTATGATGTCGGAACCGAACGCGGTACTGCAGCTTCGGTTTCGGAGGACGTCCCCTGCCTGTAGGTCTCTGAACTGGCACCTCCCTGTGATCCACGATGTCATAAATGTCCACTAACCGTCCATGGTTGGGTGCAGCATTGAGCGACGAGAAGGAAACTCATCTATTTCCTTGAAAGGTGCAATCTCGGAGGCGTGAAAGACAGGGTAAGTTCGGAGATGACCAGGGATCCGGATAACATAAGATGTCCCATCCGGATCTGTCCCAACGATGTCCAAGACTTCCCAGGGTCCGAAGTACTGAGGCATGAGTTTGCGGGAAATCCCGTGCTCCTGTCCCAGTTCTGAAGACTGAACCCAGACTCTGTCCCCAACCTGAAACGTAGAAGGACGGCGGTGTCTATTTTCAGACTCTATCATTGCAGCCTGTGCCTTCTGCATCTGTTCTACAGCCTGCTGCATCTTCTGTTCATACGATAAGCAAATTCTAAGGTACCTGGTGCAGCAATGGTCTGATTCTCAGAAAGAACAGTCTAGGCTTGAAAGTTAGCAGTAAGCTGTTTGGGCTCACCCCGGTCACGCTGTGTACAACGTTGTTGTACAAGCTGGCGATGAGAGCAAGCTTCTCATCCCAGTCCACCTGATTGGGCTTGATGTAATGCCTCAACAGGTGTTGAACAGCGTGGTTCAGTTGCTCGGCTTGGCATTGGACTCTGGGTGATTCCCATAAGTCATTTGCAACTGGGTCCCCTGTTCCGCAGCAGCGGCTTCCCACAGCTCACTGGTAAATCGGACATCCCTGTCACTCACTATGGACTTGGACAACCCAAAATCTCTAACCCAATTCTCCTTGAACATCTTAATGACATACTCCGTGTTAGCTGTTGCCGACATCGCTACTAATCTAGCAAACTTACTAAATCTATCCACAATGACGTAGATATAGCGCATTCCACTCTTGCTGGTGATCAGAGTATCCATGAAATCCATGGACAGACTCTCACCAGGCCTTTCCGGAATCGGAAGCGGCTTCAAGAGCCCAAGAGGGGCCTGTGTACGTGGCCCGTCTCTTTGACAAACTTGACACGTCTCCACGTACAGCTGAGCATCTCGCATCATCGTGGGCCACCAGAATCGCTGCAGCAGATTAGCTGCGGTCTTTTTGTACCCAAAATTACCGGTGGCATCATGACATTCACCTAAAAATAAACTACGCAAAGACTCGCTATTAGGGACACACAATCGTTTATTCCCTACCTTCTCAAGGAACAGCAAGACATTGACCAATTCAAACTCGGCAGAGGTCTTCTTGACCTTTGCCTGGAGTCTGCGTATGATCTCAGACATGAACTGGTCCTCGCGATAGGCTTCCACCAAGGACTGAGTAACATTGTCCGTCAGATCGAACTCAGTAATCAGCGCACCTGAGAAATCAGGTCTACGCGACAAGGCATCAACAACCTTGTTGTACTCCCCTTTCAGATACTGAGGGTCAAAGTCATATTGCTCAATGACTTCGATCCAACGCTTGAGAGCGTCGGAGAGCACCGACTGAGTTCTCATCCATTTCAGGGTCTGATGATCAGTCCTGAGGATGAAGAACCTCCCAAGGAGATAGTGCCTCCAATGGGTCAGAGCCTTGTACACCGCATAGAGTTCCTTCTCATAGGTGGACTTAGCCAACTTCTGAGACGACATTCTCTTGGACATGTACTCTACAGGCCTCAACTTTGGCCCCTCCTGCTTCGCGAGCACGACGCCAATGCCATATTGGCTGGCATCCGTGGTGACTATAAACGGCTTATCAGGATCAGGAAGTTTCAAGACTTCGTAGTGCGTCAACGCATGCTTCAGGGGTCCTTAAGCAGCCTCGCACTCACCTGTCCACTCCCATGGGGTGTCAAGGCGGGTCAAATCAGTCAAAGGAGCGGCCACTATGCTATAGTTCTTAACGAAAGTCCTATAGTAGCCTGTCATTCCTAAGAAAGATCTCATCTCAGTCACAGACCGAGGACGTGGCCAATCACGAATGCTGACCGCCTTCGCGTTATCGGGCTTCAACCCTTCCGCGGATATCTCATGACCCAAGTACAAGACACGGGTGCGACCAAACTCGCACTTCTCACCGTTGATCTTGAACTTGTGCTGTCGCAGGAGACTGAGGACTTTGTCCAAATGTGCAATGTGCTCCTCGACAGTCTTACTAAAAATAAGTATGTTGTCGAGGTACACAATGACAAACTTATCCAAGTAGTCATGGAATATCCGATTCATAGCGTGCTGAAAGGTGCCAGGAGCATTGCAAAGGCCGAAAGGCATCACCACAAACTCGTACAGACCGTACCTGGTCTGAAAGGCGGTTTTGTGTTGATCCCCGGACTTCATATCTATCTTACTGAAGTACCGACACCCTTGCACTCTATCTAGCAGATCATCGATGCGCGGTAGGGGCTCTCTATTCTTTACCGTGATGGCATTGAGGCCCCTATAGTCAATGCACATCCTAAGTGTACCCTCCTTCTTAGGTACTAATAGTACTGGAGATCCATAAGGAGAGACACTCGGCCGGATCCAACCCTTTTCTAAGAGTTCCTTGAGTTGTCGACGAAGCTCATCGAGCTCGCCTGGAGACATCCGATAGATCCTACCCTTCGGGATACTAGACTGTGGAATAATCTCTATCGCGTGGACGACCTCCCTCTCTACAACCCCTATCGGCTCTTCAAATAAATCAGGGTACTTGGCAACTACTCCCTCTATCTCCGGCGACATTTTCACCGGCGCCTGCAGCAGAGACAAACTAGGTACATACCCTCCTCCTAATTTTGCTTATAATAGTTATAGAACGCGGTCGCACACATACATCCATGGGACTCGATCAGATTACTAGCTTTGAACTTGTGCAATCTGGCGGTCCCTCCACCTAGCAAAGTGTGCTTGACCACTTTTCGGTCCCAGTCAAACTGCGGCTGAGCCACAGAGAGGTAGTACATTCCTCGTAACATATCCATTGGGAGCTCGTCACTCACTAGGAACGAGAGGCGATGTCTCAATTCCCCTTCCGCGTATGGGAAACAACACTCAACCTCCTAGAGGTAGTCATTAACTACCATGCGCTGTTTGTTGGCACAGGTAGACTCCACAGGTCGACACAGGCGCTGCACTCGCCCCTGTAAATGCAGCCTCTCAACGCACGCGCGACTAATAAAGTTCCTTGTCGAGCAAGTGTCATGATAGGCCCCGGCCTTGCGGTTGCCAATGACTACCTCGCTGACGAACATCTCACCCTTTGGGGCTTTGACTAATGCCGTCCAAGAAGCTTGTGGGTCTGATCTAGACCACTCCTCTTCTAGCTCCCTTAAGGACTCAAACACATTCATCGAACAGAGGCTCGATGGGTCTGAACGTGTTTGCGGGACGGCGCTGGAGTCAGTAGCTTGGGCCATCTCTCGAGATGGTGAGGGTGTCTCCACCACCTTGACCCTCGTAGGAACAACTACTATTCCTACTGGCCCGACGTGTTTCCCGGAGAAGTGCTTGAAGTGCTGGCCACGTTGCTACCAACGGGATGCGAGGATCCTACCGCCTGCCCCATCATAGGCGGGATCTTGTCGGTCACCTTCTTGTTACGACACTTAAACTGATTATGGCCATATTGGCCACAACGAATGCAAGCTTGTCGTGTGTACCGATCTCTCCCTTCTCCCATTGGGGAGCGTTAGGGTCAACTTGACTCCTTGACCGGGAGCCTCCACGGCATCGACCGGTCGCCTTACCTTTCTGAGCGACGGCAACGACTACTCCACCCTTTGAAGCTTCTGCGCTGCCAGCCTCTGAACCTACTCCTTCCTGGAAGTGTTCGTCTAATTCGATGGTAGAACCATCGTTATCGACAAACATAATGCGCTCTTTCGCCTTCCAGTTAGGAGGCAGGGTCTTCCTCCTACCATCCGTAGTGGGTGGCTGTCCATGCCCTATCTTCGCCTCAAGGTCTAGGGCCTTCTTGCTAAACGAAGGAAAGTTGTGCATATTGATGTTGGCCTCACCTGCCAACAAGTTCCAGAGAGACAAGGAGAAGCATCCCTTACTGACTTAACTGCCGCATGTGCAGTGTCAGGATCGCATCAGTAGCCCTTCGGGCCTCCTGAGGATCATGTCACCTTTCTTCCACCAGCTTAAGGAAGTCATCCAATTTCTGGGTGACTGCCCAAGCGCGGAAGTCATGACCATACCCCTGGAGTTGCACTTAACCACTCAACCATCTTGCTGCACTACCCTCTAGGTAGGAAGCAGCCACAAGCACTTCTTCGTACGGCAAGGTAAGTATACACCTGACATAGACTGGCACCGCCCTCAACCATGTGTCGACGTCTTCACCTCTCTTATCCCCTGTGAATGGTTTCGGAGCGGCGATGGCCATCTTTGGAACCCACTGTGTTTGTCTCGGTCCCTGCATCACTCCGGGCTGTGAACCCTGTGACGCAGGTTGCTGTGCTAGCTGCTGGGTTGTGTGCCCTGCGGCTGCACAGGCTGCGAGACAGCAGGTTGCGCGGTGACCGCTACTTGCAACGGAGATTGGGTGTACACTGTCTGTACAGGAACCTGCAAACTAGTCCCTGCTGATACCCCTCCTGAATGCCGAGGGAAACGATCGCTACCGATGATGGGGCTACATATGGGGATACCCCAGTCACCGGTGGGACATAATGAGGAGGATGTACAACGGGCCAAGCACCCGGCCCGGACATTGGCGACGTTGCTGGTGCTCGCCCAACCAACAAGGCCAGACTTTGCGGGATGCCCTGAAGGATGGATGTTTGCTGGTCCTGCATCTCCACTACATTCAGCAGGACAGACCGGATGATCCTCACATCATCCGTTGCGTGCGTCAGGTCCATCTCCTCTAACTCACTGACATCCGCTTCTCTCCGCAACATCCTGACTCTTCTTCTAATCATTCTTTCCTTCTCCGCTTTTATCTGTCCTAATGCATGTTGTAGTTGTGCCTCTTTTAGAGTTGCCTCCTGTATGGCAATCTCATCGAAGGTCAACACCAATGGCTGGCTCGCCATTCCGCCAGTGGACTGACTCTGGGTCTGCGCGACCGTTGACCCGACAGACCCTGAACTACCGGCTTGAGAAGTCTGTTGCGCTGAAGTGGCCATGGCTTCCGAAGATGCGGCCTCACTCACAAGTGTCCTGCTAGCCTCTGCTGCTCTAGCCCTCCTTTGCTGCTGCAACCTTTCTCTACCCTGGCGGAACAGGTATCTGTCACCCTCTGGACCTAATGCCAAGTGGGCAATCGGGGGCCTTGCCGATCGCAAGATCCGGTCGTCCGGTTGCTGTTCCTCCCTATCGCTCATAAGCTACAGCACTGTACACAATCTGCACTAGTGCACACTGGATCCTATCGCAGCGTAGTGCACAGACCAACTAAATAATTGGTTGCTATTTCGGAACAGATATCACTTCAGGTCAACAGGAAAGTCAGATTCCTACAAACGAGACTATTGTTAGTTTGACTAGTCCGCAAACAGAAGCACCATGAACAAGAAACAGTTCTAACTAATGCTGCCTTTCAGATGTCAATGGCTGTACACCTAACTAATCAGAACATAAAAATAGAATCATTTGTGTGGATAGGACAACATGGAATTTTCTCGAACTTATCACCTGAAATCTACCCCTCCCTTAGTTCCCTTGAGTATCACTTGAAGTCAGCGTCCCTGAGCAATCCGGAGGCGTTGCGTATCTAAAAGGTGTGTTCGGCCCACCCATGTGCCTCGAGTATCTGCTGAGCTCCCCAGCCCTGCACTGGATTATCCTCGCGTGCAGCGAGCCTTACAACCATTGGCTGATCCAGAGGCAATTTGGCGTCCGCCCCCAAGTGACTCCAGGAATTCTTTTACGTCCCAGCCGGACGACGATCACAGCCAATGGTTCCCCTTCCGGTGCTTATTTAACGACGCTCGGTCTCGTCTCCCTTAAGGGCTGGCCTGCCCTGCAGTACCCATCTAACAGCGCAGCAAGCCGAACAAAGGACAAGCAGCAAAGCATGCGTGCTCTACTCCCGGTGGGTTGGCATGGTGACCGTGAACCAGTGCTTCGTCCAGGGCCCTTCGGAAAGCTCCGCCCATCTTCTCCCAGATGCTCCACGTGAACATTGCCGACTCTCAAGGATGAGCGCACTCGACACCTCACAATGAGAGGACTCTCAAGAAGGAACACACAACCTCACGGTCAAAAGTGTCGAAGAGGGTAGATAAGGTTAAGAGCAACGTACCTCAAATAGGTGCCCCCAACCACAGAGATAATCTCACCAGATGACCTTATGGCGATTGCAATGACCAGTCGCTGCATCGGCACAACCAGCATTATCCCATCGTTCCACCTCAGCATCAATCGCACATTAGATAGTTCTCATCACACTGTCCAAACCACATTAACACCACCTAGCCTTCCTGGCGATCACATCACCTCCTGGGTTGCCACTCACTCGCCTCCACCCTCCTCACTATACACCACTTACGGCCAAACTCGCCAAGCAGATCGCATGTATGTACCGTACCAGGCAGAAGACAAGCGCCAAATGAGCGCAAACGTACCACAGCTCCGATACCAAATTGCAAGGAAGATGAGCAATAGCAAACTTCTGAAACGGTATTCACCAGTTCGCAGTAGCGAATGCAGATCCCAGGGCTCGATCCCTAGTCCCCCATCTTACTTGTGTACAATATTGATGACAACCCGTAGATTTGAACCTGCGACCTGTCGAAACGCCAGTGGTAGGTAGATTGCCGTAGGTCACAGCTTAGTAGGGAATCGAACTGTCGACCTGTAGGGTAGGAGTCTAGACAGTTCCGAAGTCGTAGTTGTAGGGTGTCTGAAGGATCAAGATCGTAGCTGCTACTTACCTGAAAGGGCGGAGTCGTAGCTGCTACAGTACCGAAAGGCCAAAGTAGAAGTTTCTAGAACTGGCCTTTCGGAGTCAGCCCCTGTTTAGGCCGAGGCAAGTGCGCAAGTGGTGTAGGTCCACTACGCAGAGTCAGCAGTCCCAGGTAGCCCAGTCCGGTCCAGTCAAGCAAGTACCGTCTGGGACTGTGCACATCGTGGGCCAAGGGATGCAGGGCAGACCAAGGCCGCACAAAAGTATAAATCAAGAGGCTGCGTCCAGCCATTCATTCATTCCTGCGGATGCCATGCGGAAGCGCTGCCCCAGCAGCTTGTGCGAGGAGGTCTGCAGTGTGCCCGAAGACGAAGTGGGCAGAGTAGCGTGTACGTGTGTTGCGTGTGGTTACAGAGTGTTGCGTGTGGGACATCCAGGGTGATCCAGAGTGTGAACAGTGAGTTGTGTGGGCGCACAGTCACCATAGCCAGTTGGAAGAGAACTCTTATCTGGTCACAATATCTTTGAGTACAGTGTGGGCGCATGTCGCCAGTTGCTATATCGCTGATTGCACTGATATCGGAGCTGGTACCCGCTGTTCCGCTCACGCCGTCGTGTGCAGGATGAGGCGCCATAGCTAAGGTGGCCGCTGGAGGAGATAGTCCGCCATAGCGGACCTTCGGTGGAAGAAGCCGCTGCGCACCTGCATCAAGAGGAACACGACGAAGAGGAAGATTGAGAGAGAGAGAGAGAGATGAGTGATACAAGATTGGTTACTTACCTGCTGCGCTGAAGATACCGCTACGGAGAGAGAGAGAGAGAGAGAGAGAGAGAGAGAGAGAGAGAGAGAGAGAGAGAGAGAGAGA